AACACCTTCTTAATCTTTTATATCCAAAACAACAGTACCTGTTCACAAACCTGTTTCAAACGATTCCTACTGGGTCAATCTAATAATATGAGGGAAAGGTTACAACCTCTATTCTACCTGAAATCCACTTATTCTTTTTGTGTAATCCTCACGTGGAAGAAACCTGTTTCAAACGAATCCTATGATTCTCTTGTAATAAGAGGAAGTGAAATTCAACCAATCAAAAGTAAAACAGAAACATTTAAAATAAATAGTGGTTAAATGTGTTATATTTATTATATATGTACATATGTATATATTATTTTTAGAAAAATACATAAAATATTCTTATTATATAAATATGTATTCGTATTATTAAAATTTCGCCTCAGCTAATTTTACCGCAGCAATTAAGTCATCATCATCTTCGTCCCGAAGTAGTTCCTGGAGTTGAGATCTTTTATCATCATCCTGATTATCTACTAAATCGAAAATGTTGTCATCATCCGGGAAAATGTATGCTGGATTATCATTATTAGACGTTGCATTCCTTGGGTCATCGTCGTCATCATCCCATTTAATGTCACTTAACCAGGTCAAGTTGCTCTCGAGATAGGTTTGAGTCTTAATCCCAAAAATCAAGGACAGGTCTACGGAGCTCGGCTGAGAGTCCAGATTTATGGTTGATTCCGGTTGGGAATCGATAAAAATGATTTCAAGGTCATCCATCGTTGTTGAAAGATTACTAGTTTATGTCCTAGCTGTTAGCTGTGAGTAGTTATTATATAGGCACTTTGCTATGGGACAGTGTTAGGTACACAAAGGAGGAATATAAATTATAGAGAAAGTAGAAAGGTTCAAGGGCATCGAAACCGTTTTTCAGGAAACACTTAAGTGGGAGGAGAGAGAATATAAATGAGCGAAGGATCGATTTGAGAGGATTTTACATGGTTGAGAAACAGGATTAAGATCGAAGTTAGTTCACATTATCGCCGATAGGTGGCGCCACCAAGTAGTAAGGATACGGGACAGACGTATATTTACTCTAAGTAGCATTAATTAATTTTGATGTCTTCCTATTATAATTTTATTCTTTGCGTGCTCCTATATATATCTCCATTAATTTGTGTTCTCTTACCATTCAACCCTCTATACGGACATCTAGATACCCAGGTTTCCAACCTATGTTTTCTATAGGATGTAAATTTCAGAAACTTCACACATTTGTTTTCCCAATTCAATGTTTATAAAATATCCTATAAGTATTTATTTAACTTGACCAGTTAATAACATAGCAGAAATTGGTTCCCAATTCAATGTTAATAAAATATCTTATAAGTATTTATTTAACATGATCACGTAATAACATAGCAATATGATGCACACTTACATTCAACATGTTGCCAAGCTGCACATGCTTAAGCAAATGTTGCTGCAACATGTTGCGAATTTGGTAATTCAGTGTAAAAAGCGACCGTCCCTTATCCTTACTACTGATTGGCTATTTCGAAGAATGCCATTTTAGCCATCAGGGATTCTTTTGTGTTTTCACACGAGGATAATAGCCTGTTACAGCATACTGTTACCGCTTTCCGATCGCAAGATTCTCGAGCGGCTTTAGCTTTTAAGCTATTTGTAATGCGCTACCAATCCTACCTACCAAGAAGCGAAGAAGTGAATATATACATTGAATTATAAAGATAATGTACTGTATATCTCACCCCGAGGATTCCTTTTTCTTACTCATCGTTGGATTACCAATTTTATCCACCGTTAAGCATTATACAAACATAATTCAAATTTGCTAGATCATTCAAAAACTTCTGCATCTATGTAATACAATGATAATAATACAATAATATAGCTAAATCGTTCGAATATTGTTAAATCAAATAATTCCATTATGAAATAAATGTGAGCAACCGCTCTTTTCAGTTCAATAAACATGAACTCCCCTTTCGCTTGATGGAGAACTCCTTCATTCATCATTAATTCGCTCTCAACGACATCGTTTAATATTGCACTGACATATCTGCCTGGCCTGTGATATTGTGCGTAAAGTTGGGCGATAAAGGAAAACCATTTTTACTGCCTGCCCACCTGTTCCCACCCCCAATTTCCGTAGTCAATCGTCCGACATTTCGGTTAGCATCGAACCATTATCAATCTCGAATCAGCATCATCATCTGAATCATCGACATAATGGTCGCTGCTGTCGTGGCACGTTTGTCGCTTTATGCCGTCGCGTTGACTGCTTATGAGCATTATATCTGCATTGTCACCTTGTTGGCCATTTAACATGAACGCCCGAGAGGACACTGGTCCCCTTATACACTCCGGGCCATTCCACCTGTCATCTCTCTTATCATTCTGGGGACCCCATGCCGTATTCTCTGTGCCTTGCGCCGTGGATTTAAGGACATCGCTGTCACCGTTACTGTTACGGTCACACCTCTCTTCCATCCCATAACATGTTGTTGGAGACAGAGTAAAAAAATTGGCGAAAAAACGTTGTCCTTTGCTTCATTTTTTTCAAAGATTCACTTTCCGTTAGTCAAGCGTCCGGGAGATTTGCCCCTGTGTGTGGGTTTCAATTAGTGGATTGGAGCGCACAGTGGGTTCAATGCTGTCAGAAAAGAGGGGAATATTAGAGCTAAGGGAAGGGAATATTAGAAAATACTAGCAAAATGGGCCTAGTTTTGGGGGATATAGAAAATAGAAAAAATTGTAGAGTAGAGACCTTTTTATAGTTTTAGTAATGTTGAGCCGGAACAGTATTAGATCTAATTAGCTTTAGCAATTTTTAAGATATTGTATCTTTCTAATTTCCGTGTAACTAATGCAACGTTCTCATATTTCCACAATGATATCAAACATCGAAAAAAATATATGTTGAGAGACCCCAACATTCGCTTCACATTTATCCTAACGTGCTCATTTGAGTGGAATCACTTAATGGTTTTATACGCTTATCATTATCATCCCAGTAACGGGCGGAGTCCGCCATCCGCTCTCCACCACTAACCAGAGGAGAAAGAGATAGTCGACACGAGGAGAGACCCGTCCCTCTGTGCTTCGTGGCAGTTGATTCAATCAAAATTTGTGTGCGTGTGGCAAGCAGCTAGCGGACATTTTTATCTAGCGGATGTTTGGCTCGCTCGCTGTCAGCGCTTAAACTGTTTGCGCCCAGTCATTGTTTTAATGCGTACATGGGCGATACACTCACAGATACACGCACACAAAACAACGCGACTTCTGCGCTTAATGTTTCACTTTTCAGAGCGTGACAAAAGCAGAGGCAGAGGACGAGAGGCACAGGGCTAAAGGTCCCGGGTACAGCCCACAAATAAGGAAGTAATATGTCGCCGCCATCGCCATCGCCTGGCTCTCTGTGCACGGCCATCAAATCCAGACGCAGACGACACTTCATTGGGTTCTCCCATGCCCAGGACTGGGTTGGTTGCGTTTGGTGTTTGCCCCCGACACTGGTAGTAGCTCCCGTGGCGCGTTGGTGAATGCTCTTTTTGTGCTTCGACCCTGCGGCACAGCCATTCCTTTACCCTTCCAGCCATTGTGAATTGTTCGGGATACGTTCCCTGTATTTGGTATAGTAGGCAGCCATTGATCGACTACTGCAATAAGTTCAAGGTTTTATTTTGTGCCTATATTTTTATGCATTTCTGTTAAATAAATTAAATAATAATAATAATAACTGGAAGGCACTCCTAAGCTAAACAAAAAGTTCCTGGGACCGAAATCATTGTAATAAATAATATATAACACAATACAAATTGTGTTAAGTTTTATAATAGGATATAATTCGATAAGATATTTTTATTAATTATTATTAAAAATTATCCATCATAATTATTTTCGATATAGCTCAATAATAATGATTATTTGATTATTTTTATTATTTTTAAAGATTATGCGAAGCTGAATAAAAATATAAAAAAAATATATAGAAAATAAAAAATGAATATTTTCAGGTGAAAGGTCTCCCTTGCTTAAACCCAATCAACCAATCAACCAATAGTCTCATAATACAGGATATTCCCTTATTCGATCGGTGGTTTCTTCCGTGAAATTTATCTTTATCCGGTTTTCCCTTTTTTTCATTAGTTTTTCTGCTGCGTTTCTTCTTTCCACTTCGCTTCACCTCCACATTCCACCCCCTGCTGCTTCTGCTGCTGTCAAAGGCATTGAACCGCATTTGTTTAAAAGATTGATGACCAACAATAGACTGTGCCACCTCGCCCGTCATACCCAATCCCATCCCATTCAGGTCCCTCTCCCATGTAAAGTCCGACTGTTGATGATGATGTGCGCCCCATATTTATGGGCCACAAATCTTGACAGACTTTTGCAAGTCTTGCGGAGATCGAAGATGTGGAGAATCTGACATCCATGACCTGTAAAAGTTGCCAAATAATTTCATTAATTTAATGTACAACAATGTGACTTGTCATTTGTCAACTTTCGGGTGTTTCCAGGCCCACAACTTGTTTGAGGGCAAATCAGTTCATATTAGTTTTAATGCCGAAAGGACGGGACATAAAGAGGGTGTCTCTCGTGGCAGGGAGTGGGAGAACTCACTTAGTGCATCCAAAACTTTGCCGCCGACAACATGTCATTGATTTTATGCCCAGGATCGGGGCAGGACAGGACAGGACATGGCACTTTTAAGAGGCTGTCCCTGGGATTGTGTCGCATGCAGGCAGGCAGCGATGCATCATCATGGTTGTCAGAAACATTTACTCGACATTTAGCTTATGCCACGTCCAGATGAGAGACGAAAAGGGCACAGAAAGGAAGTAAGGATGGATGTAAGGAAAGTAGGTTGAGGATCTCAAGGCAACATCTTGAGGAAACAATGGTAAAAAAGATGACACCATATGATGATGATCTAATAAACCATTCCCCTGTATACGGCCCTCAAAAATTGCATCAATTTACAGCAAGGAAAACATTTATGAAAATCATAGATGCCCCATGCATCTATATAGCAGTTCTATTTCCAATTTCTTTTTATATATGTACATATATTTTATTTCACCAATAATTAATCTTTACCGAAGCACAGCGGACTTTACGCAGAATCATAGATATATAAATTAAAGTTAAGGCCATGGTTACGCTTCGATTTGAATTTGATGGTAGCAAACGTGTAGGTCGGTCCACCCTCTATGAGTGAGGCCTCACCACCTGTTGTGGAGTTGTTGTTTTCTATCACAATGGCGCCGATAGTCTTGATATTTTTCTGCAACTAAAGTATTAAGAGTTTTGTCGAAAATGCTTGCAGCCATTTCTTTCTTACGTCCTGTTTGAAAGTTACTCTTCTTTCTGTAATGCGAAAGAACTTGGAAGGCTCTGCCACATGCGTCGCGTAGAGTAATCGTGCATTTGGGCTTTGCTGGCCAAAGACCACGCTTTTACTATGTACCAACAGGGGGCTGACGACGACAACAAGTGCCACGACAACTAAGGAGAGCCGGATAATAGTCTGCAGATCTATCATAGCTCTTCCAGTGTCTTTAATCAGTTCCGAATAACAACTGATTACTCCACAAGCTCGGGAACCGTGAAAACCTAAGCTAAGCGAATCAGAAAGGATTGATTGGATTCACCTGATGTATAGCACTATTTATTATTGTTCTGGCAGAATACTTTAAAATCGGCTATGGGTCTATATCGCTTAAGAAATTAACACATTGTCTCGAATATAATAATAATAATAATACAAAATATGGTAATGTGAAGAATCAAATGGATGTTCAACGCTAGCGCATTTAGGGATGGACGAAGCTATAAATAAGTACAAATGGATATCGATAAGTAGTAAAATGGTAAAAATGAATTTCGATAAGTATTAAGTGTTAAAAAAGAAAATTGTAAATAATTAGTTAATTCATTACAAAGTGCAGTATCTCGGTATATATTTAACTGAAAGGAACCCTTAAAGTAGCACCTTACATACCCATTGTACCATAGTTCCAAGGTTACAAGACACCCTCCAGTTTCCACTGTCCTTTTTCACTAAATTAAAGATATTAAGCCATGCCTGGAAATCAACCCAAACGACTCCCCCAAATTAAAGAGTCCGGGACTACTTTATTACCAACCAGACATTTACATCCCACCAAGAACAGAAGACCTTAACTAACCTCCGTCCGCCCCCACCGATACCATTGATAGGACGGCCATTTGTGGTGCTTTTCATTAGCAGCAACACTTATTCTGCCACAGATACTACACGCTTCGCACTTTTGTTTGTATCTATAAAATGTCTTGGCCTTGCTCTTTTATTTCTTATTTCTCGCTGGCTTTGTGGGGAGTTATTAACCCTTAACCACACGTTACCATTTATTACCCACATTGTCAGCCACACGGAGCCAGCCGGAACCGGCGCGTTAAGCTGACAATGGCAGCACTTTTTTCTCCCTTTTTGTTGGTTATTGTGTTTGGGATGTGTGCCCTCTGCCACAATTTGATTGTACTCGTATTTGGCCGGGACGGCACGGGACTCGACTCTTTTTGTCTGCGGTTTATTGCTTTTAATTTGGTCTAAGCCTCGGATCGTTTAGCAGCCCAAGTGAATTTTTGCGGTCGCCATTGGATGGATCTGTGGTGTGATAATTGCCAGCAAACGCCAAGGGTTTTTTTTGAGAGGAGAAAGTAGAATTTCCCGGTAGCTGGTTCCACAACAATGAACTAGTTCGCTTAGCTTGAACTGCTAATATTTGACACTTTATATCTCTGGATTATTCCTTAACTAAATCTTTCACTCTAAATCCCCAAATATTTGCTAAAATTTAATTTACACATGTCTCAAATCGATAATACTTTAATCAAGGTGCGTGCTCGTCTCCGCGAGCGCGACATTAAGCTCTGGGAGGAGCCCTACTACTTCGAGGGTGTGGGCAGCATCGAGTCCGAGATGGAGCGCCTGTCCCAAGAGATGAGTACGGATCTGGGCATCAGTGTCTCGAACTGCCAGTGCGCCCTCTCTGAGATGCAGGATGGGGCCCTGCGTAAGCTGGCCGCAGCCAAAGAGTTCACTGAGACGGGTCTGGCCACATTCAATGTGCGGTGCGTGGAGGGCCGAGGCGGTACGTCCCAGATGATGGAGATCAAGTGCTCGATGAATGGGCTGGGATCGGACCTGCAGGACACAGTGGCCCAGCGGCTGAAGGTGAGCGGTGGCAGCAATATCAAAATCATCTCGGCTGGGCGCATCATCTCAGGCCAGCAGTCGCTGTCCTCGCAGGGTCTGAAGAACAATCAGCAGCTGATGGTTGTGGTTGGTCAGCGCGGAAATGAGGCTGCGGGTACGGCCTTGTACGACCGCATCCAAAAGATACGCGAAGATGTTTTGTTGATTGTGGAGTCCGATCGCCGTTTCCTGGAGATTGAGGACCAGGACGGTAATCCCGTCTTTCTGCCGCAAGCAGAGACCCATACACTGCTCACGGCCCTGAGTTTCAGCGAGAAGGCAAGGGCCGCCATGTCCCGGGAGGAGTACGACCTGGCATTGTTGCTTCTACTGGAGGGAGACGAATACTTCTCCCGGTGCAATACTGCCTTCCTAGAGGCGGTGGATAATTATGCTCTGATCAACTTAGACATAGTCTGGTGCTATTTGTGTCTGAAAAACATCACACAGCTGCCGGATGCCCAACGACGTTTGGAAATATGTGAGAAGAACTTTCGCCGCACCTACGGAGAAAACCTCGATCACTTCAAGGAACCGAACAGTTCGGAACGGGCTCTAATCATGCGCCTCCACTTGCTCCAGGGCGTGGTCTTATTCCATATGAATCGCCGCGACGCGGCCTACGAGCGACTGGAGATGGCTGGCGCTGCTCTGGCCGATCTGAAGGTCAGCCCCGATCTTCTCCAGCAGATGGTCGACATGGGATTCGAAGTATCAGATGCCAGGGTGGCCTTGCGGGCCACTTCTGGCCAAATTGATCGGGCTGTGGATTTCATTACTGAACGCGAAAAGAATCTGAATGACGTACGAAAGAAATCGCTTCAGGTGCGCAAAGTCAATCATGAAATCAATCGTGAGGAATGGGTCTGTCCCAGGTCCGTATGTCGTCTTATGGACATGGGCTACGAGCAACAGCTGGTCGTGGAGGCTCTGAGGCGCACCAAAAACCATCTAGATCGCAGCATCGATCTTCTGCAGAATGAGGCAGATGAGCTACGTGCCAATCTGTCCGCGACCTTGCCGGCGGATGAAGCACTCCTCACAACGCTTCAACAGCTTGGCTTTTCTTTGGACACTTCACGGGCTGCTCTTGAGACGAACAGCAATAACATGGAAGCGGCTATACAGTTCCTGATGAGAAGTTTGACCACCGAAACGGAATTACTTAACATCATCGAAGCGATGACGCGCCTGTTGGACTACCAGGGTCCATCGGGATCACAGTCTGCTTCGCCAACCCTGATCCAATCGATTCTCGACCAGGCCAAAGCCGAGATGGAGTCGTACAAGGCCTTCGAACGTTTATACGAAGATGTGATTGACAGCTCCATTGTGTATTTGGACTTGCCATTGATACAGGAGGAGCAAATACTGATCGAATACAGGAACCTATTGGAACGTTAATAAGCCAATAAAATATTAGTTTTGTTCATTGTTTATCTGTACATATAGTATAATCATCGTTTTTCGGTTTCTTTTCTCGGGGGTTTCTCCCACTAAACATATGGAAAACGATTGTACAATAGTTTTAGGGGGCACATATGTACATAATCGTGAAATAACAGCATTAAAATAATTCCTTAAGATATAATTTTGATGTTTCGCATTGTTCACGGTGCCGTTTGACACGGAACTAAAGATTATTTAGGTGTTAAACTAACTCAACTTTAATAGGATTCATACATACACATTTATCGGTGTTTCTTGCTGGCACTGATTTCCATTAAGAGCAGCTTCTTTTTACAGGTTTCTCTGTCTGTCCATCGAACGATACAGTCGAAGTTGGAAAAGTTCTCTTTTGGCCCTTTTTTCTGTCGCTATCCCTAATTTTATTTACTTACAAATTTTTATTGCTATCATTAAAACAAAAATCAGCTGTCCTTAAAACGCAGTAACGCACTTTGGCAAATATATACATATATCGATACCAAAGTGTTACTGGGATTGTATTTATTTGTTATTCGTTTGTCCTTCTTGAAGATAATTTTATTTTTAATAATAACTTTCAAAATAAATGAAAGAGGTAATGATTCGATTCCAGTCAAGGCTAAGGAGAATTAATTCAATGGATAATCTCATCGTGGATGCGGCCACATGCGACTTTGGCGTGGCGATGGCAGTTTCAGTTTACTGCCAAAGCGAGGCTTCTCCGGCTTAGCATCGGCTGACGGCTTCGAAGGTGTGTTGGAGTTGGCGACTAACGCCATCGAATTGTGGTTTGTGAGGACTTGACGATTCCGTGGCAGAGCTAAACGATTTCGCTGACGTAGAGCCCCACCGACTGCAATCATTGTGGATCGACTCTTGGGCGTAAATTCCTTATAGGACATCCCGTTTTCAGGTTCATTTTCATCTGCATCGCTGGGAGATCTTGTATCTGTTGATTTGGTGACTGGCTTCTTCTTCAAGCGTGTGACCTTTCCACCGCTCTTGGCCATATTGGGCGGGATCGATTGGATTGTTGGTGTCTTTGGTAACGGGATTTTAGATATTGAGGACATGTTTCTCAAAGTAAGTGGCGTGCATGGGCCCTTTGAACCGGCAGTCGGCGGTGGCATCATCATTTTGTCACTTATGTTGTTGCCCGTCATTGTGGTAGACGGGATGCCGACCTTCTTGAGTGCCGGGTTTTGCTGCTTGGTCTGGGGACAGCGCTCCCATTCGCCCCCGGCCATCAGCTCCAGTATGTTCTCGCCGTACACAAGAAACGGTCGATGCGATTGCACCTCATACTCCCGCACCAGTTCGGTGATCTGATGCTCAATCTTGGGCAGTTTCGAGGTGATTGCCTTGCGTTCCTTTTCCTCCTTGAGTAGCTGGCCGCCCCGATTGTTGAAACGTTTTGGTTCATTGGCCTTTGCCACCAGGGCCTGCATGCGTGACCAGAGTTCCCCACGGGTCCCGTACAATTCGAAGATCACCTTGTTGCACTTGTAGAAGCTCTTCAGATCGTCCAGCTCCAGTTCGTGCAGCTCCAATAGGTCTTCGTTGTAATCGTTGATGTAGAAACTGGCGAAACGCTTGCGCTCCAGCGGGCTCTTGAGCGTTAGATCCCAACACTCGCTTATCTCGACACGCAGCTGCTCGATGAACGTCTTGAGGTTCTGACTGCGCAGCGCCTGGCAGCGCTGAAGCTCCAAGTGGAGGATGTCGAAGGTGCGCTGCGAATAGTCAGTGCAATCACGCACTCGTTCCATGGCGCTCCCGTCTGTCTCCTGGAGGCGATCCCACAGCACGTAGATCTTCCCGCGCGTGTCATTGATTTTGGAGCGCAGCTCTTGGACCTGCTCGGCATAGGTGTTGCGCATCTGGCGGAGCCGGTCTAACGTCTCTGGGGCTAGATCGTTGTGGTTCATATCGTTCAGCAGGTCCTGTTCATCGGTCTGGGGCATCAGCTCGAGCATCTTCATGTCCTGCTTGATCGCCTGCCGCAGCTGGTGGAGCTCCTTCTGGCGTAGAGTCCGCTGATATCGCAGATTGTCGAGATGGTCGCGAAAGCCGTCGATCTCCTCGGGAAGGGGCAACTTGTCCGCCACCAGAGGCCGCGGCAAGGCGCCCAGCTCTTCGCGGAGCTCCCCTTGTTGGAGCAGCACCTCTCCAATCTCCGCCCGACGTTTCGAAACCTTCTCGCGCAGATGTTCAATGCTCTTATTCAGCTTCAGCTGCCACATCATCAGCGGCATATCGTCGGGCCTCTGGCTATTGTCCACAGGCTCATGGAGTAGTTTGGCGAGGTCGCTGGCCTCGTCTCGGAGTGCGGCTATCTCATCGAGAATGGCTGCTTCTTTCTCCCGCGACTCTATCAGCACATCCGTATAGAAATTGTCCGCATGCTCCTTGAGTTTGTGTAGAGTGTCCTCGCATTGCTTCGGATCGAATGTGAGGGACAATATGGAATGGAGCTGCTCCACATGCTCGGCGGTCATCTCCAGGATCTGTTCCTTAATGGAGGTTGGGTCAGTCATGGGTGGTTAAAATACTTCGGGTATAATGCAAATAAATTTCTCCAAAGTTTTCCAAAATGTAAGACGAGAAATGTGTTCACTCAAAGCCAAATGTCACCACACCAATTGAAAGTTTTTGAAAAGTGCTATACGATCGTGCTGTCGTATTGAATAAAAATTGATTCATAGGGAGACTATGACTATTTCCTATTTCTAGGAAAACCGGATGGGGCAAAATATATTTGTTCTATATTCATTATAATCCTGGCAGTTGAAGTGAAAACATTGTGTGCGGAAAATTTGAATTTTTAACAAAAACTCGGATATAAACAAAACTAATAATTTTTTTTCCACAAATTAATAATTTCGTTTTACTCAAAAATTTTTAAAAAGCCATTCGAACTATTGCCAGCTGAACAGCAGCTTTGCCACAAAATGGAGGAGTCCATCGAAGCATTGCCAGCGGTACAGCAGCTTTACCCCAAAATGGAAGAGTCATCGTTTTTCGGTTTCTTTTCTCGGGGGTTTCTCCCACTAAACATATGGAAAACGATTGTACAATAGTTTTAGGGGGCACATATGTACATAATCGTGAAATAACAGCATTAAAATAATTCCTTAAGATATAATTTTGATGTTTCGCATTGTTCACGGTGCCGTTTGACACGGAACTAAAGATTATTTAGGTGTTAAACTAACTCAACTTTAATAGGATTCATACATACACATTTATCGGTGTTTCTTGCTGGCACTGATTTCCATTAAGAGCAGCTTCTTTTTACAGGTTTCTCTGTCTGTCCATCGAACGATACAGTCGAAGTTGGAAAAGTTCTCTTTTGGCCCTTTTTTCTGTCGCTATCCCTAATTTTATTTACTTACAAATTTTTATTGCTATCATTAAAACAAAAATCAGCTGTCCTTAAAACGCAGTAACGCACTTTGGCAAATATATACATATATCGATACCAAAGTGTTACTGGGATTGTATTTATTTGTTATTCGTTTGTCCTTCTTGAAGATAATTTTATTTTTAATAATAACTTTCAAAATAAATGAAAGAGGTAATGATTCGATTCCAGTCAAGGCTAAGGAGAATTAATTCAATGGATAATCTCATCGTGGATGCGGCCACATGCGACTTTGGCGTGGCGATGGCAGTTTCAGTTTACTGCCAAAGCGAGGCTTCTCCGGCTTAGCATCGGCTGACGGCTTCGAAGGTGTGTTGGAGTTGGCGACTAACGCCATCGAATTGTGGTTTGTGAGGACTTGACGATTCCGTGGCAGAGCTAAACGATTTCGCTGACGTAGAGCCCCACCGACTGCAATCATTGTGGATCGACTCTTGGGCGTAAATTCCTTATAGGACATCCCGTTTTCAGGTTCATTTTCATCTGCATCGCTGGGAGATCTTGTATCTGTTGATTTGGTGACTGGCTTCTTCTTCAAGCGTGTGACCTTTCCACCGCTCTTGGCCATATTGGGCGGGATCGATTGGATTGTTGGTGTCTTTGGTAACGGGATTTTAGATATTGAGGACATGTTTCTCAAAGTAAGTGGCGTGCATGGGCCCTTTGAACCGGCAGTCGGCGGTGGCATCATCATTTTGTCACTTATGTTGTTGCCCGTCATTGTGGTAGACGGGATGCCGACCTTCTTGAGTGCCGGGTTTTGCTGCTTGGTCTGGGGACAGCGCTCCCATTCGCCCCCGGCCATCAGCTCCAGTATGTTCTCGCCGTACACAAGAAACGGTCGATGCGATTGCACCTCATACTCCCGCACCAGTTCGGTGATCTGATGCTCAATCTTGGGCAGTTTCGAGGTGATTGCCTTGCGTTCCTTTTCCTCCTTGAGTAGCTGGCCGCCCCGATTGTTGAAACGTTTTGGTTCATTGGCCTTTGCCACCAGGGCCTGCATGCGTGACCAGAGTTCCCCACGGGTCCCGTACAATTCGAAGATCACCTTGTTGCACTTGTAGAAGCTCTTCAGATCGTCCAGCTCCAGTTCGTGCAGCTCCAATAGGTCTTCGTTGTAATCGTTGATGTAGAAACTGGCGAAACGCTTGCGCTCCAGCGGGCTCTTGAGCGTTAGATCCCAACACTCGCTTATCTCGACACGCAGCTGCTCGATGAACGTCTTGAGGTTCTGACTGCGCAGCGCCTGGCAGCGCTGAAGCTCCAAGTGGAGGATGTCGAAGGTGCGCTGCGAATAGTCAGTGCAATCACGCACTCGTTCCATGGCGCTCCCGTCTGTCTCCTGGAGGCGATCCCACAGCACGTAGATCTTCCCGCGCGTGTCATTGATTTTGGAGCGCAGCTCTTGGACCTGCTCGGCATAGGTGTTGCGCATCTGGCGGAGCCGGTCTAACGTCTCTGGGGCTAGATCGTTGTGGTTCATATCGTTCAGCAGGTCCTGTTCATCGGTCTGGGGCATCAGCTCGAGCATCTTCATGTCCTGCTTGATCGCCTGCCGCAGCTGGTGGAGCTCCTTCTGGCGTAGAGTCCGCTGATATCGCAGATTGTCGAGATGGTCGCGAAAGCCGTCGATCTCCTCGGGAAGGGGCAACTTGTCCGCCACCAGAGGCCGCGGCAAGGCGCCCAGCTCTTCGCGGAGCTCCCCTTGTTGGAGCAGCACCTCTCCAATCTCCGCCCGACGTTTCGAAACCTTCTCGCGCAGATGTTCAATGCTCTTATTCAGCTTCAGCTGCCACATCATCAGCGGCATATCGTCGGGCCTCTGGCTATTGTCCACAGGCTCATGGAGTAGTTTGGCGAGGTCGCTGGCCTCGTCTCGGAGTGCGGCTATCTCATCGAGAATGGCTGCTTCTTTCTCCCGCGACTCTATCAGCACATCCGTATAGAAATTGTCCGCATGCTCCTTGAGTTTGTGTAGAGTGTCCTCGCATTGCTTCGGATCGAATGTGAGGGACAATATGGAATGGAGCTGCTCCACATGCTCGGCGGTCATCTCCAGGATCTGTTCCTTAATGGAGGTTGGGTCAGTCATGGGTGGTTAAAATACTTCGGGTATAATGCAAATAAATTTCTCCAAAGTTTTCCAAAATGTAAGACGAGAAATGTGTTCACTCAAAGCCAAATGTCACCACACCAATTGAAAGTTTTTGAAAAGTGCTATACGATCGTGCTGTCGTATTGAATAAAAATTGATTCATAGGGAGACTATGACTATTTCCTATTTCTAGGAAAACCGGATGGGGCAAAATATATTTGTTCTATATTCATTATAATCCTGGCAGTTGAAGTGAAAACATTGTGTGCGGAAAATTTGAATTTTTAACAAAAACTCGGATATAAACAAAACTAATAATTTTTTTTCCACAAATTAATAATTTCGTTTTACTCAAAAATTTTTAAAAAGCCATTCGAACTATTGCCAGCTGAACAGCAGCTTTGCCACAAAATGGAGGAGTCCATCGAAGCATTGCCAGCGGTACAGCAGCTTTACCCCAAAATGGAAGAGTCATCGTTTTTCGGTTTCTTTTCTCGGGGGTTTCTCCCACTAAACATATGGAAAACGATTGTACAATAGTTTTAGGGGGCACATATGTACATAATCGTGAAATAACAGCATTAAAATAATTCCTTAAGATATAATTTTGATGTTTCGCATTGTTCACGGTGCCGTTTGACACGGAACTAAAGATTATTTAGGTGTTAAACTAACTCAACTTTAATAGGATTCATACATACACATTTATCGGTGTTTCTTGCTGGCACTGATTTCCATTAAGAGCAGCTTCTTTTTACAGGTTTCTCTGTCTGTCCATCGAACGATACAGTCGAAGTTGGAAAAGTTCTCTTTTGGCCCTTTTTTCTGTCGCTATCCCTAATTTTATTTACTTACAAATTTTTATTGCTATCATTAAAACAAAAATCAGCTGTCCTTAAAACGCAGTAACGCACTTTGGCAAATATATACATATATCGATACCAAAGTGTTACTGGGATTGTATTTATTTGTTATTCGTTTGTCCTTCTTGAAGATAATTTTATTTTTAATAATAACTTTCAAAATAAATGAAAGAGGTAATGATTCGATTCCAGTCAAGGCTAAGGAGAATTAATTCAATGGATAATCTCATCGTGGATGCGGCCACATGCGACTTTGGCGTGGCGATGGCAGTTTCAGTTTACTGCCAAAGCGAGGCTTCTCCGGCTTAGCATCGGCTGACGGCTTCGAAGGTGTGTTGGAGTTGGCGACTAACGCCATCGAATTGTGGTTTGTGAGGACTTGACGATTCCGTGGCAGAGCTAAACGATTTCGCTGACGTAGAGCCCCACCGACTGCAATCATTGTGGATCGACTCTTGGGCGTAAATTCCTTATAGGACATCCCGTTTTCAGGTTCATTTTCATCTGCATCGCTGGGAGATCTTGTATCTGTTGATTTGGTGACTGGCTTCTTCTTCAAGCGTGTGACCTTTCCACCGCTCTTGGCCATATTGGGCGGGATCGATTGGATTGTTGGTGTCTTTGGTAACGGGATTTTAGATATTGAGGACATGTTTCTCAAAGTAAGTGGCGTGCATGGGCCCTTTGAACCGGCAGTCGGCGGTGGCATCATCATTTTGTCACTTATGTTGTTGCCCGTCATTGTGGTAGACGGGATGCCGACCTTCTTGAGTGCCGGGTTTTGCTGCTTGGTCTGGGGACAGCGCTCCCATTCGCCCCCGGCCATCAGCTCCAGTATGTTCTCGCCGTACACAAGAAACGGTCGATGCGATTGCACCTCATACTCCCGCACCAGTTCGGTGATCTGATGCTCAATCTTGGGCAGTTTCGAGGTGATTGCCTTGCGTTCCTTTTCCTCCTTGAGTAGCTGGCCGCCCCGATTGTTGAAACGTTTTGGTTCATTGGCCTTTGCCACCAGGGCCTGCATGCGTGACCAGAGTTCCCCACGGGTCCCGTACAATTCGAAGATCACCTTGTTGCACTTGTAGAAGCTCTTCAGATCGTCCAGCTCCAGTTCGTGCAGCTCCAATAGGTCTTCGTTGTAATCGTTGATGTAGAAACTGGCGAAACGCTTGCGCTCCAGCGGGCTCTTGAGCGTTAGATCC